ATGAGCTTTTTTATTTTAAGACTTTTGGCCATTTTGATCAAACTTTGGTATTCCCTCGACTGAAGGAAGGGTCATATGAAAAAAAAGAGTTTGCTTGCTTGTCGTCAGGCCAAAAGAACATTAGGGTTAAAAGAACCTCGGGGTCAAAAAAACATACGCTTAAAGAAGTTTGCGCTTTGAGGCTTTCGACCAATCACATTATTCAGCCCATAGTTTCAGCCAATGAGATGTTTTCGATATCGGGCTTTCGACCAATCAGAAAAAGTTCTTTCCTCTAAACGTTGACAAAAGTAAATCGGGGCCAAAGAACCCGAATCTGAAGTCAGTTTTTCAAAATTTTGAATTCAAATTTTTGGATGAAGGAAAGGATTTTTTGAGAAAATAACGATATTTTATAAAGGTTGACGATAGGACATCGGGGTCGGAGAATTCGAATCTGAAGTCAGTTTCTAGAAATTTTGAATCGGGTTTTTAGGGTCAAGAAAAGGGGTTTTTGAGAAAATAACGATATTTTATAAAGGTTGACGAAAGCAAATCCAGGTCGGAGAACCCGAATCTCAAGTCAGCTGTTCAAAAACTCAAGTAGTTTTTTGTATGAGACAAATCATCCTTTTTTATCTGAATTTTTGTCTAAGGAAAAAGTCAATTCTTTTAAAGCAAAAGGCATTTGAAAAATTGGAAACCCGAAATACGGACAATCCTTCTGCGTATTTGGAGTTTGTAATTGCTGTTTAGTTTCGGTAGCCTCTTCATAGTATCGTTGTAGACATGAATCAGAGTGTGATCTAATGGGGTGAGTGTTTCAGTAAGTCGTAGTGTGATGAAACAGTGTTTACAAACCATTGGCACTCAGTCTAATGTGTGCAACATTGTGGGATTCATGATTATTCATAGTGGTTTGTGAGTTAAGTGGCCTTTTTTGAGAGCACTCTGCTTAAGTCGAGAGAAGTAGCATTAAAAGAATCCTGTAAATGAAGTTACGGTCTGTAGGATAAATGCTGAATAACCAATGATTGTTTTAATGTATTCCAAGAATGCAACAAGGGACTATGAGCAAGGCCTGAGAGAAGTGTTGGCGAACTAGTGGTCGCTAAAATTGCAAACGTATTCTAATGTTGTTTAGCAAAAGATCTACGTGAAACCTGCATTTATCAAGAATAATCAACTAAGATTCTCCAAACCAGAAGCCCTCATCAAACTTTACCGTATTGGCTAAACCATTGGGTTAAAGAAATTAGGAATAAATAACAGGAAACTGTTGGTCCGGAGCTGCTCATGTGGAGAGATGGTGTTATAAATCTAATATTCTAAGTAAGAGCAATCTGTCATTTAACAGGGTTTAAGTGAAAAGAACTATCTTATGGGAGAAGAAGATCATAGGTTGCAGCAGCTAGTCACGAGTGGCGCCCCAAAGGGGCGCCGACGAGCGACTAGCTGGTGCACTCGACAGTTGCATTTTGAAGGGCGTTAAATTAGAAAGATTAAACAAGAGAATGTGAAGTGGTTAGATCTGGTGAGTTTCAAAACGGACTCAAAGTGATAAAAAAGGAGAAATATTTTTGTATGCATCCTAAGACCAGTTTTTCTCGAAGAATAGAATATAGTGACAATATATGGATGGAAAACATCATTAAAACAGTTAAATTCACTCCATCGAAAACGAACTTGAAAGGAAAAGAATTAGTTTTTCGGTTCGTATATTTTTTTGTGGATTTAGAATGTGCATTTGCTGAAGTAGATGATCAGCTAAAACAGTATATGTCTTTTTCGGTTTTGCATAAATGTATGAAAAAGAAGAGAATAATTGGAAATTGTATGTTTGTTTTCGTCTTATGAAAATATTTATCAATTAAGAGAGTCAATTGTAGTTACTATGGAATGGTTTTTGACTATTTATTAGTTAAATGTACGCGATAAGAGTGAATAAGCTATTGAATTTGGTCGTGTTTGATACTTATAAGAAAGGTTCTTTCGTGTTTTTAAATCTATCATCTGCGGAAATATATACATGGATAGACGTGGGTCTAACATTGAGACCTGGCATTAATTTGTCATATGCTATAATTACTATTATGAAAAGTGATACTTTTATCCTGGTATGTTTTCAGGAATTCTGATATGTGCAATGTATAGCTACTGTTATTCCAAGAAAATAGTTTTGAAAAGGCATATGTGAATGATATCGTAGTTGTTGTATTACATGGACAATAAGAGTCTGTTGTTCAAGTGCACTTATGTAAAAGGAGGACTTAGCCGTGGCTGGTATCCCAAAAGGGGCGCCAATGAACTGTTAATCGTTAACATTGCAAGCATACTACAGACTGATCTCACTAAAGATCTTTGTATCGATTAGGCATTTTGAAGAATAGTGCACTAAGATTTCCTTAATGAGAACCTCAAAGAATATTCTGGTTTCTCAGTTCTACAATCATATTGCGGAAATGAGAAATAATTCATGAGAAAACTTTTGTTTGAAAATTCCTATCGATAATTCTAACGCTTTAGACTAACGAAGTTTTGAAATAGTAAATTCTGGACCAGGTGAATTTAAAATACAGAGGGATAGTGTTGTGAAAAGATGGGAGTAGACCTGGCAGCAATTAGTCACTCATCGGCGCCCCTCCGGGGCGCCACTCGCGGCTAGCTGCTGCACTGGGTTATCTCCAGAAGTGCCGCTTCGAAGTGGTGGGATTCATTGAATAAAAGTCAATAGTCGAAGTCAAATGGGACTGAATAAGGAATATCAGATACAAAAAGTTGAAAAAACTATGTCAAGTCAAGGATGAGAACCGGTTTTCATGTTTCGACAAAATAACTGAATAGTTCGTCAGAATAAAAGTATTACTGAAAGAATTTATATTCGCTGCATCGGTAGTGAACATGAATGAAATAAAAGAATGTTTCTTTTGGAATATGGTTTTTGTTTGTATTAATTCAAGTATCTGAATGTACATTGATATATTCAAATTACCTGTCTAGTCTTATCACTACTTTGAATAAGAGCTTGTTGTATATATCAGATTTCGATTAGAGATCAGATATAATATGTTTTATTTTCGGCTAGGGGTTCCACAGAACTTCTATTTTCCTAGAGAACTCTATAGTCAACAGCATTATCGAGAAATGTTCTAGAATGTGTACAAATTTCTAGTAGAATTTTCAAAAAGTACTCTGCGTTTTCGTATAATTTTTGTGAACTTCTATTGCTATATCGTCTGTGAAAAATTGAATATGATATCTTGTTCAGTCGAGGGCTAAGCGAGTCGAAGCGACGAGCGTTACTTGTTTTATTTCTAGTTTTCATAAATTTTTTAACAAACATACAAACGAAACGTGTAGCATAATTAAAAACTATTGATTTTATGAAGAAATGCAAGCATAAGATCACTATAATTCTGGCTGCAAGTGTCAATATATAAAGAATTTTACTTGATTACAATAAATTACATATTATATTAGCTTTCTGATAAAAAGAAGGGTGTGAATATGTTATCATTTTTTTACTTCACACCCTCTATACATCAGAAGCTCGCGAGTAGTTCTAACACACATTAGCCTCTCCATGAATATTCGGCGTTCTGCTAGCGAGCTCTACAGGCGTGAAGATGGCACAACTTCCTAACACGCATTCGTGTAGATATAGCTGACGCATGCAATCTCATTCTCATTTCTTGCCTTTGAGATAATGATTATCTTGGATGTACAAGTGAAACATACATAGATGTATGTTTGTCAAACCTCTGGCGACTTCGTCCACTGTACGAAGCGATGACATATGAAGTGTGTCCTGATTGCGTGTGAGCATCATCATCTGTATTCGTAAGAAGATTTGATTAAACCAATAAAACAAAGAGAGATAAAGATACTTTATTTTCTTTAGTTAAAAGAATCAAAAGGAGAATTACATTTTCTTTTTTACTCGATCAATATTATTTTTCACTAGTGCAATATTGGGATGTGTGGGAGGTAGAGATGTTTGGAAGATATTCAGTGTTTTTTCTAAATATGACAGTGCTTTCGAGTACTCGCCCATATTAAAATACACTGAACCAATGTTGTTGTATGAACTAGCCAACTCTGGATGATTTGCCGGTAGAATGTTTTTTCGAATTTCAAGAGATCTTTCATACGATGAAAGGGCTTTCGCGTAGTCGCCCATGCTATCATATACTGAACCGATGTTGTTGTATGAATTAGCCAAATCTGGATGATTTTCAGGAAGACATGTTTTTCGGATTTCAAGAGATCTTCCGTATGACGAAAGGGCTTTCGAATACTCGCTCATACTGTCATATACCGCACCGATGTTGTTATAGGAAGTAGCTAGGTCGGGATGGTTCGGAGGAAGAGCTACTTTCTTGAGTTCAAGTGATCGTTGATACAAAGTAATTGCTTTGGAGTATTCGCCCATTTGTGCATACACCGTACCAAGTTGAATATTATACTGTGCTCTATCTTCATCACACGAAGCCTTTTCTAGGAGCAGCTGATAGAGATAACCTGCTTTTTCGAAGTCTCCCACTCTAATGAGTATTTGACCCAGTCGCGACCATCCTGTACCGACTTCGTGAAGCTCTTCGCGCATATGTACCGTTAGTTTGTCAAAATCCTTGTCTTGATTACCCACAAGGATGAGATTAACTTGCCATAGGCGATCAGTATGATCATCCTGAATTCGTTCTATGCGATCGATGCGAAAAATTGTATGTGTTGAGAAAAGTATCTCTTCTTCTTTATCTTTAAAGAAGCCAACATCTATGACGTTGACAAAAGGTGTTGACGATAGAGTGCAAATGGCCGTATCGATGCTCATAACAAAGAGGATGCCAACAGAATTCGAGTTAAATGCTGCGGGTCGTGCAAACATTTTCAATGAAATATCACGATTTCGACTCGTTGATAGAAAATTATTGAATGACATAAGCCCTCCATTGGTTTTTTTCATTTTTTCGAAATCTTCCAAAGATAAACCTTGTCCGCGAAAAACTTGAAATTTCGATGGCATTGCCAATTTGTTACTTTGTTGTTCTCGATGTAATTCAGCAATATGATTGTGCAAATGCCGAATGAAAAAACCCATCTTTAGTATAATATCAATGTCCATTATTCGAAGTCCGCGATTCAGCATGGGATAAATAAAAGTTTCGGCTGTATACCACCAGATTGGTGTATGATCACGATATTCACTCTGGAATTTTTTTATTTCGTCTTTAGGTATATCTTCATGAAGACGACAATAGTCGACGAGGTCTTTAATTGATTTTGCATCGTCGTCTTCAATTTCTAAGAATGTTTCTTTTAATAATTGTGTATACATAAATAGCGGGTCGAGACCATTAAAGCTGACCGAAATCATGGCTTGATCGCATCGATTTCGATCGATCTTGAGTACTTCACAAATATGTTCAATTTTGGTGTGGACGCCTTTAATTTTCAGTATTTTCTTTGCCCATTGTTCATGAACAGATTTATTTCCACAAAAAACATAAATGGAATCAATTTGTGGCCATGATTCAACTTTCGGTACAATTTGCTGCCCTAATGTACCAGATACAATCATGAATATCTTTTCATTCTTAATATCATTGAGAAATTTGACACATTCTTGCGCATTTGTGAATGTTGTTATTGATGCTACAATATGCTGTAAATGTTGTATTGACGTTTTGAAATCGTCGTTAGATGCATCAATATTGGCATCTAGCCAAACCAGGAGGAAATTTTGTATAACTCGGCGAACAGGTTGGGGCACTACGGCATTTTTACTCGTACTTTTTGATGCTGCTCCTGTGGATGAGTTTTGTGACTTATTTATAGTGGATGCTGATGATGAGCTACTGGTACTTGGTTTTAATTTTTTTTTATTCATTATTATAGTGATGTTGATTATGAAGCTTTTATGTTGAAAACAAATAAAAACACCTCACAATCTTTCTCTTGCTGTCGGTTGTGTCTTCCTTCTTTTAATGCCACTATTTTTTTTGGCTGGTTGCTATAGATCGAGTTTAAGAACGTCTTGTGTTGATCGTTCGTTCCCTTCGTTTTTCATTTCACAATTCTTTCATCAGCGTCATTATTTTGAAAGAAAAGAAACGAAAAATCAATTATAAACGTAATCTTCAAGTATTCTTGGTATTTTTTCTTCTCAACGTTTTTCGTTATAGTTGCCTCTGGCTGCATCAGATTTTTTCCATGTGCATTGGATTGAGTCAATAAATATCAAATCGAAAATAAAAAGAAAAATGATTAAATTGTGTACTATGTTTCGTTCTCTCTCTCGTCTTTATTTGCTATTTTGTTGATTATGCAACCACATACTTATTAATTACATATTGCTTATTGATCGATAAAGATATTACAATATGCATTTTAATTGTACAATGAAAGAAAACGAAACCAAATTTTCATTCGTTAGCTATTTATATATACAATACTGATTTTTATTTTCGTTGACTTTCGATAAACAAACAGAAAACAAGAGATATGGTTCAATCTGTAATTGAACCCATGACATGATAATTGGTTATCCGGACCAAGGCTCTTACCGTTCAACTATAAAGGCATGACAAAGGGTGTGGCTGTGACTGTGGCTGTGGGTGCGGGTGTTGGCTTAGAAAAAGAGAACAGTAACATCCGAAACTCACACCCACACCCACATCCTGAGAAACTACTAATGAAACCGGAGTCGATGCGCTTTTTATTGTTTTCATGCGTTTTTAATATTTTTGTATAAAAATATCCTTGTTTATTTAAGATCCAATTGTAACTCTTCTAGGCAGAGATGGAACTGATCTAGTTTTTTTGAGCACATCCGGTTCTACTTGGAGAGTTGCATCTCCGAGTTGGAGAGTAGGGTATGGCGAATCCATTCAGAAAAATGTAGAATTCTGACCTAAGATATCCTACGTTACAATTATTGGCTCGAGAAACTTCTGCTGCGATATTTGCGCAATTTATTATGCAAATGCTCCACAAAAAATTCAAGGTAAATTTCAATCAATAATTTATAAAAATAATTTGAAATAGTCTCTTAAGGACCAGGTCAAAGCGTAGAAATTGACGAACGTTGTTTTGATAAAAGAAAATATAATCATGGTCGTTTAATTACATCGCAACAACGGGTTTGTAGTGAGATTGGTTTAACAATAAGAAAATGTTTTTTCCCCTATGGACCAGCGTGATGCCGCTACTTTAATACTGATTATTGAAGAATTTATCTTGCTAGGTAATGGAATTTTTTATCACTTAATTTGTGCATACATCTACATCAAAGATGGGCACTGTTCGCGTTTTTCGAAAAATGAACCGAACCGAAACCGAAAGTTTTAAAACCGAACCGAACCGAAATTTGAAATAAGCTGAGAAATGCATTGAAAAACTGTTTTTCGATGGGTTCGGTTCGTGTTTTTTCGAAACCGAACCGTGCCGATCTCTGATCTACATGTTGTGGGCTCAATAATACATTCTGTTGAATGAAGGACTTATCTTGGGTGTGGGTGGGTATGGCTGTGGGTGTGGGTGTGGGTGGGACTCTTATTCTAATCTTCACCCGCACCCATCCAAACCCAGACCCCACACATCCACATTTCACACACTCACACGCCCGCACCCTACATCCATTCACAGTCTTTTTCTCTTTTTGTAAGATACCTTCTACAGAACAATAAAAAAATGGCAAGTTTCTTCAACAATAATTCAGAAATCATCTTCGACTGTGGATGTAGATGGTGTGTTTGGGGTATTCTTTATCCACACCCATATCTTCTGCTTGATCTTTTTATGTATGCTCGAAGTTACCTGAAACATAAATGTAGCTCAAAGTTTGCTCTTCTTAATCAACAAATATATTAAACCATGACTAAATGATTATAAAGGTTGCCAAATATCTTTCATAGTAGAATATATTATAGATTTTAAGAGTAGCTAAGAGGGTAATGCAACCGTGCGTTTAATTCAAGGACAACTGTTTGAAAGTATACAAATGCGATAAGAAACCTCAGATATGGACTGTGAGGGTACACAAAATATTAAGGATTATTCATGAAACTAAATAACCTATCGATTAGAAATATTTTTCTCTTTGCATTTATGTATGATTAATCATTATTGCACATATACGAAGACTTTGCTACTCCGCAGATATTGATATAGTTTTAGTAGTATTTATGCAAATATGATTACCTTTGCTGTATAATATTAAGAAGAATTAATATTATACAGTGAATGAGTCGATTAGAGATGTTTGTAAAAGAGGTACCAATAAATCAACAAAAGAGAAACGCCTCAGGTAAACAGTAATAATGAATGAAATGTAGCCTCAAAGCGTATTCTAGTTGAGTGTTGACAATTCTCTAGAGTATTTGATTTTTTTTTCTTCTTGTTTCTCGAACGATTATAGAAACAACATGAGCGTTAAAATATAGTATATAATATTTAGAAATTTTTAAAACCAAATAAGCACAAACATTGGATTCTTTAAGAAACAAATTCAAATTAAGGTAAGCACTAATGTTAAGATTTGCATTGAAAAGTTGTACAGTGATACCAACTTAAGTCACATAAACATCTGTTGTTAAGATTGATAATTTAAATTGGTATAAAGTTAAAGTTGATGATGAAGTAAATCGATGCTTTCATACGTTTAAAGATCTTCCTTATTGCACGTATGAATATGGGTGATTTCAGCGTACAGTTAAACTAATTTCATTCAGATGTTTCAGACCGCCATTGCGAAAGCAAATGATAAATAAAAACAATAATTGGTTAGTATGAAATGCGGGTGTGGGTGTTAGTCTTCTCTTCATCAACACCCACATCCACACCCCACACCCACACCCACATCCACACCCACACCCCACACCCACACCCACACCCCACACCCACACCTACACCCCACACCCACACCTACACCCAAAAATTAACAAAAAAACGTTGATACACATTGATTAGTTGAGAATGGCATGTATCCGTCGACATACTGTTAATCCGAAAGATGACCAATTGTATTGTTCAATAAAAAAAATATTATAGACCTCCTGAAAAAAAACTTAAAAATTCAAAGAAAAAATAAGCATGGATATTCAGTCCGATCCTTAAACAAATTAGGGTGTGGGTGTGGGTGTGGGGTGTGGATGTGGGTGTGGGTGGGTGTGGGTGTGGGTGGGTGTGGGTGTGGGTGG